CTCCAAAAAAAAAAAAAAGAAAGAAAAGAGAGGGGCAGCAGGTAGCATGGTTGTTAAGGTGCTGGGATTCCACGTGACCAGCCATCATTTGAGTCTAGGACCCGGTTGCTTAAAACTTATGCCAGGTCTGTCTATGTGTGTGCCAGAATCCCAAGAGGAGAATGGAGAAGGGATATGGCATCACCATCCCCCTTTGGGGTGTTTTCTAACTTTCAGTAATTCTTTAAAAAATATGAAAAATGAATGCTAGAGTAAACATGTAGTATCAGATTGGAATTTGAGATATACTAGTGAACTAATTTTTTTTCAATAAATACAGATGTATAATATGTACCTATGTGTATACATAAATTATGTACATGTATGCATTCCCTAACTGCGCTCATTGAGAGGGTCTGGTAGAAGTGATAGAGTAGCAATGAGTACCCTTAATGCCACTGCTCCTTGGGAAATGGTTGATTCAGGGTCTGGGGTAGAGAAAGTATAAGAGGAACCTGAGACACCTTTGTGTACTAGAAAATAGTGAAGTGTTCAAAGAATAATGGGCCATCTCCAAAAGACACAGAAGCCACTTTAAAAAGATTTCTACTTTAGGGCAAGCAGGTACTATGGTGGTTAAGGTAGCTGGATTCCCACATGGCTGTCCACAGTTCAAATCCTGGACCTCGTGGCATAAAAATCACACAAAGAACATGTGCATGCTTGCCCAAGATCCTGAGAGGAGTGTGGAGGACAAGGGATTTTGGCATGGCCATCCCCCCAGGGGGGTGATTTCTCACTTTTCCTCTCTCTGTACCTCTCTGTCTCTCTCCTCTCTAGCAATTGCATACGCCCTATGGCAAACAAACAAACAAACAAAAACACTAAAAAAAGATTTCTACCTCTCAAATATGAAACAATCTATCATAATAAAGGATAGATTATAACTGTTTTGGATTATTTAATTTTATTTATCATTATTATTATCATTTTTAAATTTGCTACAGGGCCCATGCACTCACCAGAGAGTGACAGAGAGAGAGTGAGAAAGCAAGCCAGCACATCCAGGACTTGAATCACAGTCAATCATATGGAAATCCAGCACTTTAACCACCACATCACTCGCTGACCCTAGGTTATAACTTCTTAAATAAAATAGAAATTTATTAACCCATACAATAAGTAAATTAATTAATAAAATTAAAGTTTTATGAAAAACCTGTATGTGTATGTATGTGTGTGTGTACGTGTGTGTGCATGTGTATGTGTATATATATATGTATTTGAAGTTTCTTCTCAAACAGTGCTTGTTTATTATGAAAAAGAAAAGAGAGGGACCTGCAGTTAGCCTAATGGCTATGTCTCTGGACTCCCATGTAGTCAACCGCGGTTCAAGTCCCGGACCCGGTGGCTTAAAACTCATGCCAGGCGCGTGTGCACACGTGCCCAAGATCCCGAGAGGAGAATGGAAGAGAAGGGATTACGGCGTGGCCATCCCCCATGGGGGAGTGATTTCTCACTTTTTGTCTCTCTGTCTCTCTGTGTCTGTCTGGTGAGCACACGTACCCTATGGCAAAAACCTCTCCAAAAAAATAAATAAATAAAAAAGAAAAAAGAGATTTTACCATGAAGTAGCTTGGCAGACCTTAATTTGTTGATCACCATTAGTAACTGTACCACTTGGAAGTTGTATGCCACCTCCTAGGGTACAGTGTGCTAAATATACAGCATTATGTTTGTGATGTTCTTTCTAAAGATTTGTAGCACAAATGTAATGATAGGAAATATCAAACAAACCCAAACTGAGGGACATTCAAAAGTCCTTTAGGGCCAGTTGGTGGCATGGTGGTTAAGGCAGCTGGATCCCACAAGGCCGACTGCAGTTTGAGTTCCAAACCTGGCAGCTTGAAAAACACCCCTGGCTTGTGTGGATGTGTGCCTAAAATCCCAAGATGAGACTAGAGCAGAAGGGACTGTAGTGATCTCTGGAGGTGCTTTCTCACTTTCACCCTTTCTTTCTTTCTGTTTCTCTCTAGTGAGCATATGCATCCTATAGCAAATAAATAAGAAAAAGAATTGTTATGATTGAAAATTGTCAAGGTTATAACCTTAAGCTCTACTTTAAGAAGCTAGGAAAAGGGGGGACCCCACTTGGGAGGGTTTGTGGGTGAGCCTTCAGTCTCCCACCCGCTGAAGAGGTGGATGAGGGCAGGCTTCCACTCATGAGGTCAGGCATAGAGCTGACCAAAGTGCCCGGCATTCAGCAGAAAAGAACGGTGGCATTTCTAAACCAGTTTGTGGTGCACACTGTACAGTTCCTCATCTGTTTTTCTAGTTTGTGAGGAGAAACTGGCAGACCTTTCTCTTCGTATCCAACAAGTTGAAACAACTCTCAGTATTTTAGATGCAAAGCTGTCATCTATCCCAGGCCTAGATAATGTCACATTAGAAGTATCTCCTTTAAGTGTCACTAGTGTTACAAGTGGATCATATTTTGAAGCCACTTCAGAGCAGTCACTACAAAACAGTACACAAGACTCTGGACAACAGGAAAGTGAAGTATCAACAGAAAATGTCTTATCTGTAGCCAAGGATCCAAGATATGCCAGATTATCTCAAAATGGTTCAAGTGGGTGTTCCAGTGATGGCAATAAGAAACAAAATGATATCAGAAGGACTAGACCCAGATCTTCTTGAGAGGCCAGATGCTCCAGTGCCTGATGATAAAACTGAATAAAACTACAGAAGAAAGTTCAGACAGCAGATCTCTAACTGACTAAATTTAATTTTGATAAGAATGATATATATACATGTGTAGTGGTACATTTACATTCAATAAAAGAGCAAGCCTGAATTCTCTTAGACATAACAATATCAAATAGCCACAGACCTACCACCAAGCTTCCTCTGTTAAAAAAAATAAAAACCGTGGAGCCAGCAGGTGGCATTGTGGTTGAGGCTCTGGACTTCCACTCACCATTGTTCAAGTCCTGGACCTGGCAGTCCAAATATCACAACAAATAAATAAATAAATAGATGTTAAATAAAAAATCAAAATCTTTATAACCTAAAAAAAAAAAGAAAAAGCAGCAGCAGCTAGGAAAAGGGCAAATTGAACTCAAAATAAGCAGAAGTAAGGAAATAAAGTTCAAAGCAAAAATCAGCTGAACAAAAAACTTAAAAACAATAGAGAAAATCAATGGAACCATAAAGTAAGCTCTTAAGAAAATCAATAGATAAAACTCTAACTAGACTAAACTGAAAAAAGACACAGCTTTCTAGTATAAGGAAAGATAAGTAATAATCACTACAAATTTTCCAGATAGTATAAAGATAGTAGGGGGACCAGCAGTTAGCGTAATGGCTATGTCACTGGACTCCCATGTAGCCGACCATGGTTCGAGTCCCGGACCTGGTGGCTTAAAACTCACACCGGGCGCGTATGCGTGCATGCCCAAGATCCCGAGAGAAGAATGGAGGAGAAGGGATTGCGACGTGATCATCCCCCCCTGGGTGGTGATGTCTCCCTTTCTGTCTCTCTGTCTCTCTCTGGCTGTCTGGCGAGTGCACACGCCCTATAGCAAAAACCTCTCAAAAAAAAAAAAAAAGATAGGGAAGTAACAATTTTAATGTCATTACTTTTAACGACTTAGATAAAATGGCAAAGTTCCTTAGAAAATACAGATGATTAAAGCTCACTTTGTTACATAGGATATTATTGAGATATTTGAATGAAACTTGAATGGGGTTTGGACATTAGATGACAGTAATGTTAAATGACCTAATTTAATGAATATATTGGGATATGTTCTTGTTTTTGGGAAATACACGCACAAGGATTTAGGAATGGTAGTATATCGGGCTAGCAATTTATTCTAAATGGATTCACTATAAAAAGTTCTTTGAATTCTACTTAACAGTTAATTTTGTTAACTTAAATTGTTTAAAAATAAAAACTGTTTTTGGGCCAGCCCTGTAGCTTAGTGATTAAGGGAAGCCAGGTCCCATGTGATCACTGTGGTTTAAGTCTCAGCCTGACAGCTTGAAAAACACCCCCAAAATCATGAATATATGAATTTTTTCTTTTTTGAGAGGTTTTTGCTATAGGCTGGGTACGTTTGCCAGAAAGAGACAGAGAGACAGGAAGGGAGAAATCACCCCCCAGGGGGGATGGCCACACTGCAGCCCCTCCTCCTCCACTCTTCTCTCAGGATTTTGGGCACACACGCACACACACGCACCCAGCGTGAGTTTAAGCCACTGGATGCGGGACTTGATCCGCAGTCGACTACATGAGAGTCCAGCAACATAGCCATTACACCAACTGCTGGTCCCTGAATACATGACTTTTTATCCCAAATCCAGACAGGGTGGAGAAGGGATGATTGAGTGAGACCATGCCCCAGAAGGGAGTGATTTCTCCTTTCTCTCTGTGTTGAGCATGTGTCCTCTAGCATTAAAAAGAAACAAACAAACAAAACATGATACGTATACTTGGACAATACTTGCATCCCCGTATTTTAAAAGCACATACTTTAACAGGAAAATTTTCTTTCTTTTATAGCGGAAAGGAAGCCTCCTTTATTTAATATGAATGCAATGAGTGCCTTATATCACATAGCCCAAAATGAATCCCCTACACTACAGTCTAATGAATGGTGAGTATTACTAAGAGATGTATTATTCAACATTCTATGAATGAAATGCTTTTTCATAATCTGTTGTCAAAATTATTTAATTTCACTTACTGAAAATCTATTACCTAGAAAGATATAAAATGGTTTTTTTATTACCCTTTTTTACACTGTGTATATCCTTTATCATATTTGTAATCCATAGCATGTATATAACTGAGTTGAGAATAAAAGGATAGGGCCAACTAGTGGTCAAGGCCACTGGTGGTTAAGGCCACTGGATCCTGCATAGGTGACTGATCACACATGACCGACCGGATCCCACATGATCGACCAGATTACACATGGCCAACTGCATAATTTGAATATCAGACCTGGCATACATGGCCAACATCCTGAGAGAGAACGGAGAAGGGATTGTGGTGCCATCCTCCTCTGTGGGATACTTTCTTACCTTACCTTTCTCTCTCTAGGGAGCGAATATGCCCTCTAGCAAATTTAAAAAGGAAAAAAGGATAGATGATGTCATGTGGACTCAAAATATTGGTTTTTGGAAAATGTATTTTTCTTTTGAACTTTTGGAACATATACAACCCTAATTACATAACAAATAGCGTTCCTTAACATTAACATCATATGATTAAAATATACAGATTTTCACAAACTAATAGTACTCATTGGGGGAATGGTTAAAATTTTATATGACATGGGGCCAACAGGTGGCATGGTGGTTAAGGGTGCAAGACTCCCACATGGCTGACCACAATTCGAGTCCTGGACCTGGCAGCTTGTTTTTTCACTTTGTCTCTCTCTCTCTCTCTCACTCTGTCTCTCTCTGGTTACATTAAATATAAATAAATTTTTCAAAAAAAAAAAAGAATTTTTAAAAATTTTATATGGCATAGATAAAAACATTATTTGTCTTTATCAAAATTACATGGTTCAAATCCCAGGCCCCTAGCTGGCTTGAGGCACATGTTAGGCATGTGTGCATGTATGCCTAAATCCCAACGGGGTGGAGAAATGGGGAAGGGATTATAGTGTGACTTCTCCCATCAGGGGATGGTTTTTCCTCTCTTTCTCTCATCTGTCTCTAGTGGTTAAGGAAAGCCAGGTCCCATGTGGTCACCTTGGTTTGAGTCTTCTTGCAAACATGCCCTCTGGCAATTAACTACAAAACTTTGCAATCACTATAATTATAATTATAGTATTAGGTTGTCGGAAAAGTCATGACATATTTTTCTATGTTTTTTTATGCAAATGTGACAACTCAATATTTGTTCAGATCACTGTGATGTTCCTTGTAGTGCTTTCTTGATTTGATAAAAAATTAAGTTTGTATATGTAAACAAGTTTACAGAGGTCCAGCTCCATGGCACAGCAGTAATGTACTGCTAAAGGGAAACTGAATCCCACAGTGACTGCTGTTCTAATCCTTGGCCTAGTTGTCCAGAAACATGCTGGACATGCGCATGACTATCCAGGATGCAACAGGCTGTAGGACTGGAGGAAGGAAATTGTGGCATGGCCAGACCCTGTGAAGGGTGGTCGTCTTCTCTCACTGTCATGTGTGCTCACACGCTCAACATGAATAAAGAAGATAAATGAGTCTGTGGAGAACAACTTGATAATTTTGGAAAACTAAGATTTTTATCAGTAGTAGAAAATTAATTCCTAATTTGTATCTGGCATTTGAAAAATCCTAGGAGAATATCATATTAAATCGTATATTTAAATCTTATTAAGGTTTTTGCCATAGGACATGCACACTTGCTGGAGAGAGGGAGAGAGAGGAGAAGAAATCACCCCCCAGGGGGGATGGGAACACTACAATCCCTTCGCCATTCTCTTCCTTAGATTTTGGACATACATGCACACATGCCTGGTGCAATTTTTCAAGTTGCCAGGTCTGGGGCTTTAACCGTTGTTCTCCCTTTGGGAATCCAGTGCCTTTACCATGTCACCGACTGGCTCCATTTAATTGATCTTTTAAAGGTTTTCGCCATAGGGCACATGTGCTTACGTGAGAGAAGAGAGAGACAGAGACAGTGAGAGAGAAAATGAGAGATCACCCCCCCAAGGGGGATGGCCATACCACAGTCCCTTCCCCATTTGATTCCTGGGATTTGGGGCACACATGCACATGTACCTGGTGTGAATTCTGTGTGATTCTGAATTGTCAAAGTCTGAACTTCAAGTTCCATTTTAAGAAGCTAGGAAAGGAGCAAATTAAACTCAAAATAAGCAAAAGTAAGGGAATAATAAAGTTTGAATCCTACCAGGTCTGCATACTTGGCCATGTGGGAGTCCAGTGCCTTAAGCACTAAGCCACCTGCTGGCCCCTTAATAGATGTTTTTAAATTCACAAATAGATACAAATATGTACTTAATTTTAAAAAATGTTACATAAAGCACATATATAGTCTTTATTACTTAAGCAGAGGTATATAGAAGGAATTTTTTGGTGCAGAGTTTAGTCTTATGGTATATCTTAGTCTGTTTTGTGCTGCTATAATAGAATACCTAAGGCTGGGTCATTTATTTTTTAAAGGTATTTAATTCTCACTGTTCTAGATATTAGGAGATAGAAGATGAAGGCACCGGTAGGTTATGACCCCATCTCTTTGCTTCCAAGATGGTGTCTGAACACTGTCCTCCACGGGGGGAAAAACACTGTGTCCTCACGTGGCAGAAGATGACCAGTAGAGAACTGACTCCTAAGATTTTTTTTTTTTTTTTTTTTGAGAGAGAGATTTTTGCTATGGGCATATGTGTGTACCAGAGAGACAGAAAGTGAGAAATCGCCCCGCATGGGGATGGCCACACCATAGTCCCTTCACCATTCTTCTCTTGGGACTTAGGGCACACATGCATATGTGTCTGGTATGAATTTTAAGCTGCTGAGTCTGGTACTTGGACCGCAATCGTAACCATTATGCCATCTGCTGGTACCCCCCCTAAGCCACTTTTATAGCAGCATAAATCCCTTCACGAAGGCAAGGTCCTCATGGCCTATTCTCCTCCCAACACTTGAACTAGACATTAAGGTCCTTCCTTTCCTTCTTTCTTAATAGCTTGAGGGGATATTCACTTGCAGAACAAGAAAACATTCCCACATGGAGCGTGATCATACCATGATTCTTTTTTCTTTTTCCTCCAATCATCCTTCCATCAGGATTTTGGGTATGCATGTACACGTGCCCAATGTGTGTTTCTAGCCACCTGAACTTGGATTCAAACTGTAGTCAGCCATGTGGGATCAGGCTTCCTTTACCACTGAGCTATAGGATTGGCCCCAGGGATTAAATTGTAACATGTGTTTTAGAGAGGACAGAAATTCAAATTGTAGCATAGTACATACACAAGTAATAAATATATTAAACATAGACTTTACTTACTCTGTTTGAGACTTTGGGGATTTATAAAAGAATTCTTGCTTCAGGAATTTATCATATTAATTTGAATATTAGAGACAAATACTGATGAAATCATTATTATTTTTTTACCTTACCGAACTCTCAATACTAATACTATAATAACTGTTACCTACTTCTAATGTTTAAAAAAAATACATCTTAATTGACTTTCTAAGTTACTGGAAGTTTTATCTATTTGTTCAGGGTATCACATACTCAAGTATAAAAAATGCTCTCTCCAGAGCAGATAGCAATATTCTGAAATACGCCATATAGAAAATGATCCCAGGGGCAAATGAGAAAGAAAGATGACTTAGAGAGAGAAAATAAAATACAATGCTATCTTGAATTTATATGAAAGAGAAACAGTAGATAGGCTTCCCTCATTTGCCTCTATACAGAATGAGTTGTGATATTTAAATAGTGGGAGCAGGATTTTTAAATAATCTATGAGTTCCAATCTGTGGTGTGGTGGGTAAGGTGGCTGGATCCCATATGGCCAACTGTACAGTTTGAGTCCTGGACCTGGCAGCTTGAAAAACACTCCAGGCATGTGTGTGTGCCCAAGATCCTGAGAGGGAAAATGGAGAAGGGATTGCAGCATGGCCATTTCTCTGGGATATACGTTCTCACTTTTCTTGTCTGTCTCTCTCTCTCTCCCCCTTGCCATTACTTTCCCTCACTGCCTCAGGTGAGCTCATGCACCCTATTGCAAACTGAAATTATTAAAAATAAACTAGTGCATAAACTAGTACATAAACTAGTGAAGATTTATTGGTTGATTTAGATATCTTTCCATAGATTTATGTAAAACTATAGTCTCTGCCTTTTTTATCTGCATTTTAAAAAATATTTTCTTTCCATTTCCCTCTCTACCAGTAGGCACATGCCTTGATTTGTGGATGTGTTTTTAAAGGAAATAGCAATATGTTCACTTGATACTTTCCTTTACAATAGGTCTGATTATTTTCGCAACTTTGTAGATTCTTGCCTCCAGAAAATCCCCCAAGATCGTCCTACATCAGAGGAACTTTTAAAGGTCAGTTCTATTATACTTTAAATCTGTTTTTTTAATTCTAAGATTTTAAAGAATGTGTTTTACTCTTTGATTCTGAATCGGGATTAAATATTTTCTCCTGTTTTTATTTTAAGAATCATTTTATTTAGTTTAGTCATTTATTTATTTTAATTTGATCAGAGAAACACAGAGAGAGTGGGGGGTGGTGAGAGAGTAAGCCACCAGGCCCGAGACTCGAACCATGGTCGGCCATGTGGGAGTTTCCAGTGCCTTAACTACCATGCCACATGCTGGTCCCTTGTACTATTTTTTTACTAGAATACTAATTTTTTTAAAAAAGAATTATTTTATTTAACCTTATTTATTGTATTTGACCAGAGAGGGACAGAGTGGGGGTGGGGAGTGAGAAAACAAGCCACCAGTTCTGGGACTCGAACTATAGTCAGCTATGTGGGAGTCCAGCACCCTTAACCACTATTCCACCTGCTGGCCCCTTTAATTTTTTTTTTTTAAGAGATATTTTTATTGTAGGGCACACGCGCTTACCAGAGAATCAAAAAATAAGAAATCACCCCCACTCCCACCCACAGGGGTTGGCCACGCTGCAATCCTTTCTCCTCCTTTCTCTTCTCAGATCTTGGGGCACACATGCACATGTGCCCAGTGTGAGCGTGAAGCCATCGGATCTGGGACTCGAATTGCAGTTAGTCATATGAGGTCCAGTGATGTAACTGCTTCACGATCTGCTAGTCCCTAGAATACTAATTTTTTATGCTGTTGCCTCAGAATTTTTCTTAAATACTAAACTTTTTTGTTTTTTTTTTTTCCCAGAATCGATGAACTATTTTACTATGTTTAAATGGAATATATAGTTAAATGTTTGAAATAGTGCCAGATGGCTAAATATTTATATGTACAAGAATAAATTCATGAGCTATGACTATAAATTTAATCTATGTGAAATAATGTCTTATTTCAAAGTTGGTAAAACCTAGGTTAACTTTGGATTTAATTTTTTTGTAAAGAATTATTTGTTTTATTTGGTATTATTATTACTACTTTTTGAAGATTTCCTCAGGGCATATGTGCTTGTGTGAGAGAGAGAAAGTGGGAAAGCAAACCTCTACGTCTAGGACTCAAACTGTGGTTGGCCACATGGGAGTCCAGAGCCTTAGCTACCATACCACCTGCTAGCCTCTGGATTTAATTTTTATATCTACCATACCTTATATATTGATTTATCTAGTGTGAATATGAGAGGACTTCAGAGAGTCCATAGAAAATGGAATAAAGGTTGTATTTATTTTGGCACACAATTATTTTTGAAATCAGTGCATGTTTTTTCATAATACATCTTTTCCATAAACCTTTTAATACACACACACACACACACACACACACACACACACACATTGCACCTGGAGAGCCAGCAGGTGGCATGGAGTTTAAGATATTGAATTCCATACGATCAACTACATGGTTCAAATCCCAGATCCAGAGGCTTGAAAATCATACCAAGTGCTTGTGTACGCATGCTCATAATCCCAAGGAGAGACTAGAAAAGAAGGGATTGCTGTGAAGTCATCGCTCCAGGGATGATTTCTCACTTTTTCTCTCTGTCTCTCTCTCTCTGGGTGAACACACACACCCTATAGCAAAAAGTAAAAATAATAATAATATTCCTGTAGGTCTGTTAGAGATGTATAAGGAAATTATTGCTTTTCTGCCTGTTTGCACAGCATCCATGCTGTAGCCCATGGATCAGGGAGTGATTTTGACCTTGAAGTGTTATTATTTAAGAAATATATTCTATAGGGTCAGACTCTGCAAGGCAGCCCTACCTACGAAGGTTTCCTATTCAAGTCCAGAAACCGCTGTGAATACACTAGATACATGCTTGGCCATGGTCTGGGGCTGGCTGAAAGCTGGAGGTGGACCATGGCAATGGAACCCTACTAAGGATGCTGTGTGTGCCTCTGCCTCTCATTTATGTATAAAAAAAGAAGGCAACTTAAAGAGCAAGAAAGAAATAGGTTTTATAAGGCTATAGCTACCATAGTGATTTCTCTGATGGATCTAGGTGAAGTTAAGTGAAAATCTTCTGGAGAAGATTCACCATTCTCGTTGTTATTAAGAACATTTGTAATTTACTAGAGGAGATAACATCAAAAAAATTAACAGGATTTTGGAAAAAGTTGATTCAAACACTCACTGATGACTTTAAGACTTTAGTGGAAGAAATAACTGCAAATGTGGAAATAAGCAAGAGAACTAGACTTAGAAGTAGATTCTGAAGACATGACTGAATTGCTATAATCTCATGAGAAAACTTGAATGGATAAGGAATTGCTTCCTATGGATGAACAAAGAAGTGGTTTTGTTTCTTTTCTGTTTTTTTTTGTTTGTTTTGTTTTTTGAGACTTTTTTGCTATAGGGTGTATGTGCTCACCAGAGAGAGAGAGCATGATAACACACACACACACACCCCACGGAGGGTGGCCATGCTGCAGTCCCTTCTCTATTCTCTTCTCAGGATCTTGGGCATGCACGCACATGTGCCCAGCATGAATTTTCTGCTAGATCTGGGACCTGAGCCATGATTCACTACATGGGAGTCCAGTGACATAACCATTATGCCATCTGCTGGTCCCAAAAAGTAATTTCTTATAATGGAACCAACTCAAGGTGAAGATGCTATGAACATTGTAGAAATGACAGCAAAAGATTTAGAATATTACATAAATTTGATTGATAAAGCAGCAGCAGGGCTTGAGAGGATCAATTCCAATTTTGAAAGAAGTTCACTAATATTCTAAATCTTTGTACCATGTGATACTATTAGATGCTGTCTAATAGTATCACATGGTACAAAGAAATCTTTAATAAGAGGATGAGTTAATCAGTGTGGCAGTCTTATATTGTTTTACTTTAAGAAATTGCCACAACCACCCCAGTCTTCATCAACCACTATCATGATCAGTACTTGCAGCCATCAGCATCAGGGAAAGACTACGCTGGCAGAAACATTCCAGCTTGCTGAAGGCTCAGATGATCACTAGCATTTGTTAGCAATAAGAAAAAAAAATTAAGGTATGTACGTTGTCTTTAGACATAATGCTTTTGTACATCTAATAGACTACAGTACGTAAACATAATTTTACATTCACTGGCAAACTAAAAAAAATACATGTGACTCAGTTTATTGTGATATTCAGTTGATTATGGAGATCTGACACTTAATCTGCAATTATCTTTGAGGTATGCCTGTATAAGGTTTCAGAAATGCTTGGTGAATTATAGGCAGTAACCTTACTCATAGTCTTAGAAATTAAAGCCGGGGGACTAGCAGTTAGTGTAATGGCTATGTCACTGAACTCCCATGTAGCCGACCGCGGTTCGAGTCCTGGACCCAGTGGCTTAAACTCAACGCTGGGGGCGTGTGCGTGCATGCCCAAGATCCTGAGAGGAGAATGGAGTAGAAGGGATTGCGGTGTGGCCATCCCCCCAGGGGGTGATTTCTCACTTTCTGTCTCTCTGTCTTTCTGGCGAGCGCACATGCCCTATAGCAAAAACTTCTCCCCTCCCCACGCTTCAAAAAGGAAAGAAATTAAAGCCGGATTTAGGTGGCACTCACCGTAGCAACAAAAGCTTTAATATTGCTAGAAATTATGTTAGTGAAAATAAGCAAGGTCTATAAGTCCGAAACTATCAAACTTCAAAATACAAGTTTAGGACTGGTTTCGTGGCCTGGTGGTTAAGGCAGCTGGTTCCCACCTGGCTGACCATGCAGTTCCAATCCCAGACCCAGCAACTAGAGAAATGTACTATGCACATGTGTATATGCCCAAAATTTCAAAAGGAGAGAGAGATGGAGGAGAAGGACTTGTTACATGATGTTTCCTCATGGTGAGTACTTTCTCCTCTCCCTCTCTCTCTTTCTCTGTCTGACAAGCATACATACCCTCACAAAAGAAAGAAGTGGGGGGGGGGGGGGAGAATAGAAGATTTAATATCTTTGGATAAGAAGACTGAATCTTATAAATGGTGATACTTACCAAACTAAGGAAAAAAGAATGTTAACTGACTTCTTAAACTTTCCTGATAGAGACAAAAGAGCCCTTCTAATTCACATAATAATAATCTAGCCATTAGGTCAGGTATTTGGTGATTAGATCTTAAATATGCACAATATTTATTTGCCTGGTCCATAGTATGTATTGTCACAGCCCTATTCGAAATGATAGGAAGTGTCTTTTGGTTCATTGGAAAAGTCATGATGAATTTTTGTATAGAAAAAATAGTATGGGGAACCAGCAGTTAGTGTAATGGCTATGTCGCTGGACTCCCACGTAGTCGACCGCGGTTCGTGTCCCCGACCCGGTGGGTTTAA